GTCGCCGGGTCTCGGGAGTGCCCGGTGCAGCCGCCCGGACTCAGGCCTGTGCAGCCGGGTTTAAACCCCCTTCCAGCCTAACGGTGCTGCGACGCTTGTCTCTGTATCCACAATACACGGATGAGCGGCCTGATCCCATAAGCACCGATACGCCTGATGGGTGCGACAGGGACCCCTCCCCTGCTTAGACGGGTTTCATGTTACCGCAGTGTTTGGAAACAGCTCAGGACCTGGCCGGAAGAACAGCGGCAGAGCTGAGCGAGGCCCAAATGCTCTGAAAGAGTTGCATGTGACAGCTGGGGATGGGCTTTGTTAGCTAATGCTTCTATTCCATCATAGAATCATAGGACTGGAAGGGACCTCGAGAGCTCATCGAGTCCAGCCCCCCGCCCTCAAGGCAGGACCAAGCTCCACCTACACCATCCCTGACAGATGTCTATCTAACCTGTTCTTAAATATCTCCAGAGAGGGAGATTCCACCACCTCCTTTGGCAATTTATTCCAATATTTGACCACCCTGACAGTTAGGAATTTTTTCCTAATGATAAAAGTACTAAATGCAGCGTTCCCTGTAAACGTGTACAGCTGCTTGGGAGAGATTCCAGTGATGCCTAGCTAATTAGCAGAGCGTCCACAGCTAGGATGGGTTTGTTTATTTGTTTGTTTCTACCAGTGGTGCACGTTCGCAGGGATGTAAAATCCTGTTTAATTAACCGATTTGGGGGGAGAGGCTGTAGCGGCCTCCCTACCCTTGGCAGGGGCTACTTCAGTTTGGGCAGCATGCCTCAGCACGCCCCCCGTCATTAATCATTAAGGCTATGTTTACACTTGTGGCTTCTTGCACAAGTAATATGCAAATGAGGCTAAGCGTGGAATATCGCCAAGCCTCATTCGCATACCTAATGAGCCACCATTTTTTTCAGAAGAGGCTCTTGTGCAAGAAGGAGCGTCTACACTGCCCCTTCTTGTGCAAGAAAAACCCTCTTGCGCAATGCTGTTCTTCCTGAAAAGTAATAGGTGTAATGGCATTGCACAAGAGGGTTTTTCTTGCACAAGAAGGGACAGTGTAGACACTCCTTCTTGCACAAGAGCCTCTTCTGAAAAAAATGGCTCATTAGGTATGCGAATGAGGCTTGGCGATATTCCATGCTTAGCCTCATTTGCATATTACTCGTGCAAGAAGCCGCAAGTGTAGACATAGCCTAAGGGTGTGGTTAAATAGATACCTAATTTGCACATAAATCTTTATTCACACATGGATGTAAAAAAATCTGCACATGGATGGAAAAGAATGGAGGGAACATTGACTACATCTATCAGATTTATCTCCAATATTAAGGGATGGGGGTGGGAATTAATCTTATAAACTTGACTGAAATAATTGTTGCAAGTCATACCAATTATTTGTAACTACGTCCTTGCAATTTTAAAATGGAAACTGTCCTTTCAGATCTCTGCAGCACTGAAAGAAGGCCAAGTGAGTCCAACAGAGCTTTGTCAAAGATGTCTCTCCCTTATCAAAGCCACCAAATTTCTTAATGCTTACATTACTGTAGCCGAAGAGACAGCATTAAAACAAGCTGAAGAATCAGAAGAGAGATATAAGAGAGGTAAGTTTCCTAGATATATATGTAATTGCTGTTCTTCCATAAAATTATTTTACTGTGGTGGATTGAACCTTTTGTTAAACTGAGTGAAGTCTGCTGTTTATTTGATTGTCTGTATGGAACAACCATGGGGTCAATTGAGACTGAAGGCTCTGTGAACATATAGGCTACGTCTAGATTGGCATGATTTTCTGCAAATGCTTTTAACCGAAAAGTTTTTCCATTAAAAGCATTTGCGGAAAAGAGCATCTAGATTGGCATGAATGCTTTTCCGCAAAAGCACTTTTTGCGGAAAAGTGTCCGTGCCAATCTAGACACGGTTTTGTGCAAGAAAGCCCCGATCGCCATTTTCGCCATCGGGGCTTTTTTACACAAAACAGTTTTTAGCTGTCTACACAGGCCCTCTTGCGCAAAAACATTTCTGGAAAAGGGCTTTTGCCCGAACGGGAACGTCAAAGCATTTGTGCAAGAAGCACTGATTTCGGACAGTAAATCATCAGTGTTCTTGCGCAAAATCAAGCAGCCAGTGTAGACAGCTGGCAAGTTTTTGCGCAAAAGCAAGTGCTTTTGCGGAAAAACTTGCCAGTCTAGACGCACCCATACTGATTGTAAATAGGATGAATATGAGGTGAATAGGATGAAGCTTGATAAGGACAAATGCAAAGTATTCCACTTAGGAAGAAATAATCCATTTCACACATACACAATGGAAAGTGACTGTGTAGGAAGGAGTACTGCAGAAAGGGATACAGTGAACCCTAAGCTAACTATGAGTTAACAGTGTGACATTGTTGCAAAAAAAGCAAACATGATTCTGGGCTGCATTAACGGGTGTGTTGTCAGCAAGACACAAGAAGTCATTCTTCTGCTCTACTCTGCACTGATTAGGCCTCAGTTGGAGTATTGTCTAGTTCTGGGCACCACATTTCAAGAAAGATGTGGAAAAATTGGAGAAGGTCCAGAGAAAAGCAACAAGAATGATTAAAGGTCTAGAAAACATGAGCTATGTGAGGCAAGGTTGAAGGAATTGGGCTCCTTTAGTTTGGAAAAGAGAAGACTGAGAAGGGACATGATAGTGCAGGGGTGGCCAACCTGCAGCTCTTTGCTTAGAGAAATTCGGCTCATGACCGCTCTGCACACACGCCCCAGGGCCTGGAGGAAGAAGCTCGTTGTGATGGCGGCGGCAGCTCTGGTGAGACCCAGGCATTGGGTTAGAGCTGGGGATGGGGTAGTGGTGCCTGGCTCTGGGGAAGGGTGGGTGCATTGGTTAGAGCAAGCGATCTGGGGGTGCCTGGTTCTGGAAGAGGGGTGGGGCATGGGTTATAGAGCAGGGGGGCTGAAGCACCTTAAACTCTAAAGTCTTCATGGATGTGGAATAAGGCAGCCAACACAGATGTCAAATTAAAATCCAGGGCAAAAAAAGAATCAGCATGTACTTGGTTTACACTGTATTTCTTTAAATAAAATTCAAAGGCTGCTATATTGTTTGCCAGGCTGAAGCAATTCATCTGAGAGATGAGTCTCTCCCTTATTGTTTTTGAATCCGTCATATTTGCAGTCTGAGACAGACCTGAATTTTTAGAACTATGAAAAACCCATAATCTTCATAAATTAAAAAAAAAAAAGAGGAAACCATGCCAGAGATTAACAGTTTGGAGTGAAAGAGGCACTTCAAATTGTGCTCTTGTCCAAAATGTTCTGTAATGTTGTTGTTATCACTATATTGTGTATATATCTATCTAGATAGGTAGATAGATAAAAATATATAAAAATAAATATATAATGTGTGGCTCTTTGTACTCTATCCACAGCAATTTTGGCTTTTAGTTTCTAACTGGTTGGCCACCCTTGTGATAGCGGTTTTCAGGTATCTAAAACGGTGTGTCAGAGAGGAGGGGGAAAGTTGTTCTCCTTGACCTCTGATGATAGGACGAGAAGCAATGGGCTTAAACTGCAGCAAGTGAGGTTTAGGTTGGACTTTAGGAAACACTTCCTAATTGTCAGGGTGGTCAAACACTGCAATAAATTGCCTAGGGAGGTTGTGGAATCTCCAGGGCTCGACAAATAATGTAAACTACTCGCCCATGACGAGTAGATTACAACCTGGAAAAGCCGGCGCAAAGCAATCTGCGCATACGCAGAGCGCAGAACTGCACGGCTGGCGAGCCATGGGAATCTCCATCTCTGGAGATATTTAAGAGCAGGTTAGACAGACATCTTTCAGGGATAATATACACTGTGCTTGGCCCTGCCATATGGGCAGGGCACTGGACTTTGATGACCTTTTGAGGTCCCTTCCAGTTCTAATATTCTACAATTGCACTTCAGGCAATCGCTATTTACAGAAGATGAGGAATGATGCGGCAGGGGAGGAATTTCAGCCTAATAAATCTGCCGTACCATCTCATTGCTTCAGCAAAATGCCAGCCAGTATGTTCCAGCTTCTAGACGTTTAACCACTTTGAAATTCTTCCCTGGTTAACTAATAGCCATCTACCAATTCCTAGAGCACAGTTGCTGAGCATCAGAAGATAGAATCTATGACTCTTGGTTTGGGAGTGGAGTAGACTTAAGCAGCTTCTTTAGATGAAATAAGCATTACATTGCCAGGTGGTAAGCATCTTTTTTGAATAATTTATCTAGTTGAAGCTGCTTCTTTAATTGCAGAGAATATGTAGTATGAGTGCAAATCTTGGTCTGAGTAAAGTCCTTAAATGATGATGTCAAAACAAAAGATATATTGTGAAAAATATAATTTTAAAAGCATTAGAGTATAACTCATAAGTGAAGCTAAAGAGTAAAATAAAATGTCATTGCTAAGTAACAGACAGTTTGTTTTAATACTAGATTTTCCTCTGTTGTCTTTGTGCCAACTTTGTACCAGGTCAGATACTGGGGGATTTAGATGGAGTTCCTGTAGCAATAAAAGACAACTTCAGCACAGCTGGAATTGAAACAACATGTGCATCAAACATGCTGAAAGGTAAAATAGCGTGTTGTAATCAAAACAAACACCATTTTGAAGCTCTGGTCCTTTTCTCTGAAGAAGCACAGCTTATTTAAAGCCTAATCATTTCAAAAACTGAATTACTTTTAAGCACAACACTTCCCTTAACTCCATCTGCCAAACTTTTGTGCTCTTTGGGGTCATATTTTTAAATAATTGTTAATATTGTAACAATGTAAATATATGAGAAGATCGATGTTCCCTATTAAAATGTTACTGCAGGTCCCTGGCCCGACACCTTGGGGACCTGAACTGTCCAGGACCAGCGAGTTTGCTGGACCAGGGGAAGTCAGTGCTCCCCTGCTGGCTGCCCCACTCCCAGACTCCTTTCTCTGGGGCTCCCTGCCCTGCCGCTGGCTCCGCTAAAGCTGGCCCACCATGGCTCCCCACCTTTCTGCCTGCCCACTGCCCCAGGATCTCCTGGGATTCCTCGCAGGGACTGTCTGGCTGCTGCCGGTCCTGCTGCTACAGGGTGTTCTCTGGGATTCCCACCTAGGGCCACCCGGCGTCCCGCCCACTACTAGGGCCACCCTGGTGCTGCCGGGGATTCCAGCTGCCTACCTCCGCTAGTCCTGCTTCAGTCAGGAGTTCCTTGGCAGACTCTGCCTGGTCATCCCAGCCCCGATGCCATGGAGGGTTTCTGGCTGGGGAATCCCCAGCTGCAGCTGAAGGTTCCCTGGCTGGAGCTGAGCCACATGGCCCCACTAACGCTGAGGGTTCCCTGGCCCGGGTGGGAACTCCTGGCCTGCTGCCTGTCACTGCTGATGCCAGGGGTTCCCTGCTTGGGGCTGGAGCTCCCCAGCCACTGCCTAGCCCCGTTGATGCTGGGGGTTCTGGGCCAGGGCGGGGGCTCCACATGTGCTGCCTGGCCCTGCCAGACCACCGATGTTGTTGGAGCAAAGAGTCCCAGATTTGGGAGGTTCAACCTGTAGTTTATAATCATCAGGTTATGTTTTGCTTTGTTACAGGCGAATAGTCAATGTTTTTTAAATCGTCTTTTTATATACAGGCAGTCCCCGGGTTACGTACAAGATAGGGACTGTAGGTTTGTTCTTAAGTTGAATCTGTATGTAAGTCGGAACTTGTGTCCAGATTCAATCGCTGCTGAAACTGACCAGCGGCTGACTACAGGAAGTCCGAGGCAGAGTTGCTCTGCCCCGGGCTTCCAGGAATCAGCCACTGATCAGTTTCAGCAGCAGCTGACTTGACGCCAGTTCTGACTTACATACAGATTCAACTTAAGAACAAACCTACAGTCCCTCTCTTG